CTGATGTTCTAAAACTGTAATTCCACTTGAACAAAAAAGCATTGAAACTGTTATTTATCATACAGACGTTCAAATAGAAACCACGAGAGCACATTTGGCTCCAAACATGAGAGGATTCTACACAAAGTCTGTTAATTGCCATCTAACAGCATAAATAGCTAAACCAATTACGCATAAATAGAATAAGCTTCTCTTAAATATGTTTCATTCAGAAGCAAATGGGTCATTGGGTTACAAATTATTAATTGTTTAAACATCAACAAACTGCATATTAAATTGATGCCGCTTTTGATGATCCGGAGCCCCACCAACCAACCCTACAACTTCAAACAGCCACGTTCAACAATCCTTTCATTCATTTGCATCTGTATGTAACAAGGACCGTATCCATTCGAATGCACGGCCATCTGAATCCATTTTCTGCTTGTATTGAGCAAAGCAAGGAAACAGCTGTATTTCCATTAAACCTGATGGAGGCTATTCAAGGAAGCCTTGGACATTCACAGGAAGGCATAAGATCAGATCTGTGAACACCAGCTCTTAGAGAAGCGAAAGGTTTTTTTTTTCAGCTATATGCCAACACTCCAGCAAATAAGAGAGGAAAGTATGATGCCATAGAAATACTTGCATTTTATATCCACTCACTGATTTGCAGAGAAGTGACTGTGAGGGAGGGAAATGGTATTGAGTGGTAACAGAATGAATGACATAAAACAAAGCTGCAGCCACTGTAATCTGCCACTTTTGGGTCCCATACCAATGCTTTGGTAAACTCCGGATTCAAAATGCGATTCAATTAAAAGTCTCACATCAGCCACCGGCATTTCAGACAAAAAAAAGTTGCTGAAAAGCAGAAAACACGTCCATTTCGCCGTTGCATTGTGCACACAGCCATGTTGGCGCGCCCAAGGGACTGTGTGAACACTCAGATGGATGGTGAGAGTTGATACTAATTGATGTATCATGGACAGGCACAGTGTGGAATGGAGTGGAGGGCGTATCGTCATTGACGAGAGGTCCATAGATTAAGCTTGTCAGTTCCCCTTCCTTTTTATGCCTCTGGCAAGGGGTGCTCAGGAGGAATCAATGTTTTTTGAGAAGCCGTATGGGTGAGGACCATAATAATAACATCATCCTCAGCTCCAGCCAAAATAAGCATGGCCATCTTGCCCAGTCTGAATCGATGTACCACTGTCTCTGCTGTCCTATGGTCGCTCCTGTAAGTCCATAGCTGTGCATGGGCCAAGATCCAATGCTGGGCAGGACATCGAGGTGATAATGCCAGCATCTGTCAGAGAAGCTTAGATATTCCTTTCCCAGCAAGCAGCAGGGACAGACTATAGATCTGTGCCATTCCTTGGCAGCAGAGGAGAAAAAAAGGTTATGAAATAAAATCAGTCATTCTCTGTGTGGACTGGTTCAAGCTTCCCACCACAAATGCTTCAAATAAACTCAAAACTGATGTGAGGTTGTGAAATTCCCTTGGATTTAAGACTGCTCTGCCTCCAGACCTCAGGTTAAAGAATTAATCTCCACCCAGCTTTAATTCACACACAACACGGCGCTACATACATGTGAGGAAATAAATGTATATTACATTTTTTAAAAAAGAAAAGGATATTTTGGTTAAAAAGACTGATTTTTCATCCGAATCACAAACTTATTAATAGCCGATATAAAATGAAACACTCAGTGCAGTTCGTGGAGAATAGTTTGTATCAAGAATAAATGCTGCGTGAGTTTGAACTGTGACACAGATGTGTCACGACTCAAATGAGGGCATCTTTTCTGTTAGGTGTTGAAATGTACTGATTATCACTTTTCTATTTTGATGTATAATATTTTTTATGGTAAATATATCATATGTTGTTTCACAGTTAAATAGACTGTAATGTGGTGTAAAAGAGAACTGAGGCTTGAATATTATGTGTGGTCCTGAGCCTGACTGACTGACAGTTTAATGAATCGGTGGACAAGTAAACACATTACTTTACTTTCTCGCAATAAGTTCTCCTCTTTTTCTTTTTTTTTTTACAGAACAAGTAATTGTTGTGGTTAAAGAAAAACCAAACACTAATGTTAAAGCAGACAATGCATCATCACTCACCCACAACAGAAAATTTAAGGATTTTAATGTAGCTGTAAAATCAATAAAAGACACAAAGGTACGTCAACAGCAGGAAGTATATTGAGGTAGATTGTAGCTCATAAATGAAACATGCCATCGCTTTCTGAGAGAAAGAAATACATTGTGGCTAAATTACTGCTGTAGTTTATGATCTACCCTGCTGCTCCAGGCAGTGCTGCTGCGTTTATTCACACAGCACTCAACTGAAGGGTGAGAAACATTTCCAACATTTTTAACCTCTTAGCCCTCGCCACATACTGCAGCTCTTCAAATCAGAAAATCTTCATACTTAAGGTTTTTTTCTTTAACCTTACTGTACTGGGTTGATGGCAGAACTCAAACCCTTTTGCAATTAGTAACTCAATGTCTTAACACCTAAAAGAAACACCTAAAAAACACACAAGAAACAATAACAAGTCCATCTTCAATTATTGCAAACTGTTGCTCACCTACTTTCCACCATATATGTGAACAATCAAAGCAGCAGTTTTAAGTTGCTCATTATTTTAATTGACACTTTTCTCTCTTTTTTTACTTACAATCAAGCAAACAATACGAGCCTCTGCATCATAAGCTCAGACTGACAGAAATACAAAGCGTCCTCTCCACTGTTTTGCACATACAGTGATCAGAAAGCCCCGAGGAGAAAAGAAGTCCCTTGCCATTGCCTAAGGTTGTTTAACTCAACATTAACAATGTATGAGATTAAAAATTCTACTGGCGCCATCTTTGTACAATTGCAACACGTCTTAAAGGTGTTGCAGCAAAGCAAACAAGTTGGTCACACTTGATTCTTTTGTCAGAATGTGATTTCTTTATGCAAGAGACGTTTAAACGTCCATTAAGACATCAGGGCATCTGAATCGCTTAAACATCAAGTGGTTCTTTAAGGAGATAGTGTAACTTTTTCTCAACATTTAAAGCGTATGGAGCTGATAGTAACTCTAAACTTCTAAGGACAAAAAATTGTTCTGTTCTGGTGCGGGAGATACAGTAATGTACACTTTCATATTCATGTATTCACAACATCAGGCTCAGTGAAGCTGCTGTAGCTTGAGTTTTTATTAAACGGACACAGCCGAAGCTTTTGATGTGAATAGAAACATAAATGAATTTGATAAATTACATCTTTACATTGCAAAACAACGACCGCATTCTCCTTTCCATATACAGTTCAACAACCCTATATTGATAGCAATGATTGGATATGGCTCAGAACTAATTCTCCTCCTGGTCAGAATATTAATTGTGGTCAAACTCTAGACTTCTGTTCCAATAAAGACAGGGAATTGATTTGCCGATGTGCTTCATTGTTATTCTTGTGGCACGCTGTTTGTTTTTCGTGGGGGTGAAACAGTCTGGGGGTAAAATGGACAAGCTGGAATAACAGAATCGAGCGGAGGCTGCGGACGCTAGGTGTCACCCTTGTGACTTTGAAATCTGCCAGCCCTAGACAGGATGTGATGGCGGCTGAGCGCCGGTTAGAGTCAGGCAAGCAGCCTGGCTGCATGGGAGGAGGCGTGCGTGCGTGTCTGTGTGCAAAGGGCCGGCTGTAAGCGAGTGTCGCTTCCATCTGAATGAAAAGAGTGAGATTTCAAGGAGGGCGATGACAGTCTGCAATATGTGCAGAACGACTAAAGCAACTTCATATTCATCCTTTTTTTTTCTTGCCATAGTTTCCCTGCTTGTGTTGGCTGAGATTTAATGGTGGTAAACTGGTCACATTAGATGGAGCCATAATGCCAATTACCCATTATGGAGATAGCACAACGGGCGCCTTGAATGTGTTGATCCATTATGACCATTAGCTGAAGGTAGGACGAAGGTCACGGTGAACCCAACTCATTATTGACCTTATTAACAAAAGGTTTAATATTTACAGCCATTAAATGGCGTAATAAAAATCATTATCTCTATAATTAAAAACACTCTGTTGTAGCCTTTCTATGCTTCTCGTGTTCATTACAAAGTATTTAACTAAATAATGAACTAATAGCGATAATAAAAGAATACAACAACGCTAGCATCAAGGAGGTATGAAACAGACAACCGGCTGTGACCGTTCGTGGGGTAAAAGCTTTCGAATTTCTTTTTATTATATATAAATCTGAGTTACTATTGATTTGGCCCGTGGCAAGATTTCCCCCCAGCTTGTTGTTACATGGAAGCCATCATCGAGGCCTATAATATTTGTTCATTATTGGAAATTGCCTCACCGCGGTGTCCCGGTGTTGCTGAAGTTCAGAACATTAAATGCATGACAGCCACGTCTGGGGTCTAAATGATGCAACACGATGCGTGCACTTGCAACGGTTGTGGGCTATAGATCAGCGGGCCGTGGCTGACTCTAAAATATGCAGTATAAGCCAACAGTAAACACTGTCGAGGAGTTTCGATGTCTGCTCTGGCACGGAGGTGACCACACCTTGTATCACCTCTTGTCTCTAACAAAAGTCAAAAACAAGAGCGAGTATTCTCCTGTTGAAGATCTGTGTAGTAAATATGACTTGTTACATTTAATGGAGCACAACAGTACGCAAGGACAAATCTGTGAAAACTTATCCGTGGATTCTCTTCTCTGCTTCTGCTGGGAGAAATGAGTCTGTTACTCTTGTCTGTGGCATTCGTGGGAGTCTTTTCAAAGACCCCCATGGGTCCCCAGACCCTACATTTGGAACCGCATTCTAACGATCATCTAATACTCAGCGTCGTGTTTCGGCGTGTACGATGTAATTGCCCGTCGAGTCGTCCATCTGCAGGAGAACAGGTAGTTGGCCGCGTTTCATTGCTGTACTTTGCCCCACCCACCAGCAGCTCCAGCCCTCCTGTGTAACCCCTGATTGGCTGAGGGGATTGCGGGTCCTCAGACCGAGCGCTCGCCTCGGAGCTGAGAGTTCGCCAGTGTGCACCAGTGAAGCGAGAGGAGCGCTTGTTGGAGTCAACTAGACAGCCTTCTGGCAACGAGTAGTGATTTCGTTTTTTTCTGCCTCAACCAGGCTGGATATAGGCGACTGTGCTCCAGTTTGCTGCAGATAAACATGAAATGCGTTTTGAACATACAGTAGTGCTGTGACCAGGTTTCCTCCCACAGGCTTTTGGCTACATTTTCATCGGATTTTTTTTTCTTTTTTTCTGTTGCATGGACTAATAATCAGGATATGTGACGCCTTTTCCAACTGACACAGAAGGAAATCAATTAGTAAGTAAAAGCTTGAAGACTTACGGAGGGGACGAAAGACTAAATCTGCTGGAAATAAAAAGGTAATCGGGACTTGAGTGATGTGATGAGACATTCCTGCAATTGCACCCCCTTTTTTTAAGCAAAGCTATCCGGACTTAGGCTGTTGAATAATTTTGCGACTGCTGATTCTTTATTTTATTTTATTTTTTTCATCAATTGTGCAGTTTAAAAGCCTGTAGCTGTCTATCGATAAGGGAATTTGATCACTGCCTGTATTAAATTGCACAAAACAAGATGTTTATTCAAAATGCGACTTAAATATTGACTGGGATAAAGGCTGAAAATCTAACACGGACTTTTAAGCTCCTTTACTTTATCAACAAAGAAGATTTTTTTTTTAAATTGTGGACTTACTCAAAGGAATTTTGTGTCTATGCAGTCCGAACATTTATTTCTAGTTCCAGCCCACTTGAAAATGGACGGTTCATCGCACGAGTTCTGTGTAAGACCACTTTGCCGCTTGATAAGAGCAGCACGGATTTATTCGACTAAATCAGTACTGTGAGAAGATTCAGCATGTTTTCACAGATCTGTCGTCCCCAGTGTTTCGTCCGCTGCAGTAGACCAGAGGATGTTCCCTGCCTGTGGAGAGTGAAATAGGCACTTGTTAGAATTTTAGCTTCCACACCTAGATATCATTTGCATACATACGAGATTTTCATCACTCAGACACTTTTTGGACATTTTAATGAGATGGTTAATTTGCATAATTTTCCCAGTTGTCTCTGACGTGTACCTCTGTGCGTAATTATCAAGGTCTTTGTTAGGCACAGGAAAAGTCAACAGGTACAATGCAAACGAAGGAGATGGAATTAATACAATTAACTGCTGTGTTCCTCCTTTTTTGGGTCGGGACTGAAGCTGTTATCAATTTAAAGTATGGAATAAACGAGGAAATGAGGGCCGGGTCAGTGATAGGAAACGTGACAAACGACGCACTAAAGCAAGGATTTCAGATTGCACCGCAGCCCCCGTACTTGAGGGTCATATCCAATTCACATCCTGGATATGTTGAACTGAGTCCAGCAGGAATTCTTACAGCCCAACAGAAAATAGATCGGGATGTATTTTGTCGACAAAACCCAAAGTGCATTATATCCCTAGAAGTGATGTCAAACTCTATGGAGATCTGTGTCATCAAAGTTGAAATTGAGGATTTGAACGATAACGCACCCAGATTCCCTACGAGCCACATTGACATAGAAATTTCTGAGAATGCTTCCCCTGGTACCAGGTTTCCCCTAGAGGGGGCAAGCGATCCGGACTCGGGGATCTTTGGAGTGCAATCATATTCTATCACTCCAAATGAGCTTTTCGGACTAGAAATAAAGACCAGAGGGGATGGGTCGAAAATTGCTGAGCTTGTTGTGCAAAAATCGTTAGACAGGGAAACTCAGTCCCACTATACATATGAAATCAGCGCAGAAGATGGAGGAGACCCACCAAAGATAGGTGCGGTCCAGTTAAATATTAAAGTAATTGATTCTAATGACAACAACCCCGTTTTTGACGAGCCAGTGTATACAGTTAACGTGATGGAGAATTCCCCCCGTAATTCATTAGTCATAGACTTGAATGCAACGGATCCCGACGAAGGCACTAATGGAGAGGTCTTGTACTCGTTCAACAGTTACGTCACCGAGAAAACGAGGGATGCTTTCAAAATTGACCCCAGAACCGGGGTTATCACTGTCATTGGTGATTTGGATTATGAAACGACGCAAATATATGAAATCGACGTTCAAGCCAAAGATCTAGGTCCAAACTCGATCCCAGCTCACTGCAAAGTCACCGTGAATGTGATGGATACTAACGATAACCCACCTGTCATCAGTTTACTCTCACTGAACACAGAGATGGTGGAAGTTAGTGAGAACGCGCAGCGTGGATATGTCATTGCGCTGGTGAGGGTGTCAGATAAGGATTCTGGGGCAAACGGCAAAGTGCAGTGCAGGCTGCAGGGCAATGTTCCGTTCAGACTACAAGAATATGAGAGCTTTTCCACTATACTTGTTGATGGCAGGCTGGACAGAGAGCAAAAGGACACATACAACCTGACCATCCAAGCAGAGGACAGTGGCATCCCCCCTTTACGCGCCACAAAGTCGTTGGTAGTAAAAGTCACAGATGAAAACGACAACCCTCCCCACTTTCTTAAGCCACACTATCAAGAGATGGTGATGGAAAACAACCTCCCTGGCTCATGCCTGCTAACAGTATCAGCTGAAGACCCTGATCTAGGGATGAATGGCACAGTTTCATACTCAATCGTCCCTGGTGAGATTAAGCACATGGATGTAAACACATATGTCAGCATAAACCCATCAGGCCGCATTTATTCAATGAGGTCGTTTGATCATGAGTACACCAGGACTTTTGATTTCAAAGTGCTGGCCAGAGACAACGGCAATCCGTCTTTATCAAGCAACGCAACAGTGCGCATCGTCGTGTTGGATGTCAACGACAACACACCTGTTATGACAAACCCTCCGCTGGTTAATGGCACAGCGGAAGTTTCTATCCCGAGAAACGCTGCGAAGGGTTACATGGTGACCCAAATTAAAGCTGACGACTATGATGAGGGGGAGAACGGGCGGCTGACCTACACTATCTCAGAGGGAGACAGGACTTTCTTTGAAATCGACCAGGTGAACGGAGAGATACGCTCCACCAAAATGTTTGGAGAAAACGCCAAATCCACCTACGAAATCACAGTTGTGGCGAGGGATCACGGCAAGCCCTCCCTGTCCTCTTCGGCCTATATAGTGGTGTACCTCTCTCCAGACCTCAGTGCGCAGGAGTCTATAGGACCTGTCAACTTGTCTCTCATCTTCATCATCGCCCTGGGCTCTATCGCAGCTATCCTGTTTATCACCATGATTTTTGTGGCGGTCAAGTGCAAGAGGGATAACAAGGAGATCCGGACGTACAACTGCAGGTACTGACTAAAGCCCGTGCGTGCGTGTGTGCGTGGATGTATAGATTTGTGTATGCAAGAGAGAGAGAGAGAGATTGTGTGTGTTCGCAGTCACGCTTGAACCTGTCAGCTGTCAGTGCATTGCTTTTGTTCTGCAGCATGTAAAAGCTTCTAATCTGAGGACAGCAGATTTCTTTCCACAGCTGAAATTGAGTTATATCTAAATAATCTCCACTGCATTAAATCAGAAACACTCGCTAAGGCCCACTGTTCCGTGTTAGCGGGACATGATTGATGGATTTAATTCTTTCATTGTAACCAATTGACTCATAAATATGACGGTTCAACTGTCATGTTCAATTTGCGGATGTGTTGCCGGACAATTAACGCCCCACTGGCTCAATAGCAGACCCAGACATTTATTATTTAACCTCCACCGTGGCTGATTGGCTGTTATCAGCTTTAATCTAGTGTGATTATGGATAGTTCTCAAGGATCCCCTCTGCCTTTCTCTACAAAAAGTCTAATAATATAAATATAAATATAATATAAAAACAAAAAGAGTTTCGATTCTATGAGAGTATGTAAGTCATCCCACTCATTAAGACTGCTTCGTGGAAAGAGGCAGATTATTGTGCTCCTGAACTTGCATAGCTGATATTCTGTTGTGTTCATCAGTCTGAACATCAGTTCTGGCTTTGATTTCCCCGTGCCACATTACCACTAAATTTACATATAGATTGGATTTGAGAATTTAACCTGAAGCTATAATCATATTTTGCTCCAAACATTATTTTGTTGATTTAAAGTTACTTAATTTTTTTCAGCAGTAGTGGTCATGAAAACGTGAGAACTGACTTAAGAATAATTGTTGTTGTTTTTTTCACCGTTAATTACAAATTATGTACATATATGTAGAAAAAATGTTCCCTTGAAATGATCACAGGCGTGTTTCAACACTCTTGATTGCAAAGATTGGACTAGAGGAGGAAAATATAATCACAAACTACGTCTCCATCACAGTCGACCCCTTTTTTTTAATTGTTAACAAGAGACACTAATATCTCCTGGAAAACTTTATAAACGTGTTTTTATTTGAGCCTGTTTGGAAATACAGGGAAATCTATTTATTGACATCTTGACAGAAACATTTCTCACATTTTTTAATGTCAGTTGTACATTTTCTTCAGAGAAAAAAACCCCAATGATAGACAACAACAAATTCAAAATTCAGAACTGCTCCCAGTACTTTGCTCTCCGAGTGTGCGACACTATCCCTGCTGGGTGCTTTAATCAGCACTGATGTGCTCTGCTTCTCAGTCGCCACCTCGAATATGAGGAGCAGTTGTCTCCAATTTATTGCTCGTCCTCTGTCAGTCTTTCTGACTCTGAAGATTTTCCCTCCCAGATTTCATTGTGGGCACAAAGTAGAAAGAAAACATGTTAAAATGATAAATGAAACAGCGATGAAGCATTTTCTACCCTTGCAGCTGCCCATTTTCTTTCCTCTGAATCGAGGAGGAGCCGAATGGGGGTTGTTTCAAGATGCAATCTGAAAGGAAAAAAGGAAAAAGACAAACTACAGTGGTGCACCTTCTTAGTCAGTGTGATTTCAGGAATGATAGAGGATAAGCGCTGCCTTTTAGAGAAGAACAGAGGTCAGTGAGGCCTAGTAAAGCAGAGACATGTTTGACATCAGACAGGATCGGATACATTCAGGTAATTACATTTCATTGGCAGCTATAGTTTTGTTATCAAATTATTGTGGGAAACAAACCATATCCCCCATGCCATAAGGTTAAAAATGACCTTTTCCAGACTTTGAGGTAATGCAGGTGGTAAAAAGGATCACGTGTTTTCTTGAATAGGCCTAGTGAGGGTTGCACTGATCACTGCAGAGTATTTAGCATCTGTTCTCCTGTGGAAAACTGCAGGGCTGTGTGAAGAATGGATATTTCCCCCAGTCTGAGAATCCTTTGATAAAACATGGCTGTGTTGCTCATTTGCTCTCGTTAAAGTCAAAATACTCAGTTCAAGTTTGCAGCAGCCACTGAGAGCAGCTAAATGAATTTGAATCTGCAGTTCTCCTGCACTCCGTGTTGCTAGTGGGCTCCCTTGATAACGACAGAAAAAAATGGAATTAGTGTGGGATGTGTGCTTTGAATGTGATTGCATATACTGCCGATGCTGCTCGGTATCAGTGTGCTCTTTTTTGCTGTGCTTCTGTGGTTTTGGCATGTTTGCATATTGTCTGCCTGTTTGTGACATGTCAATTGTTGAGCATGCAAATGCAAACAAACAAGGGATAACAGCTCCACTGCAAGCTTCGAGTGGAAGGTCACTTACGTGCGCTGCTCCACCTTTGGAAAAGGGCAATTATCCCATGGTTGAACAGTGTCCTAGCTGGCATGGTGGGGAAACTTTTTGACCGTATGGGCAGGGGAGGGGGAAGGCAGAACACTGCTTTATTGAGTCTGTTCAGTTTCTTCTACTTGCGCAGGGTCGCGGAGTACTCATACGGCAACCAGAAGAAGTCCAGCAAAAAGAAGAAGCTGAGCAAGAACGACATCCGCCTGGTGCCCCGAGACGTCGAAGAGACAGACAAGATGAATGTGGTGAGTTGCTCATCTCTCACCTCCTCGCTCAACTACTTCGACTACCACCAGCAGACCCTGCCGCTGGGCTGCAGGCGCTCTGAGAGCACCTTCCTCAACGTGGAGAACCAGAACTCACGCAATGCAGCTCCCAACCATGGCTATCAGCACCCGTTCACAGGGCAGGGTCACCAGCAGCAGCCTGACCTCATCATCAACGGCATGCCACTGCCAGAGGTGAGATAAACTCCACTGTGCTCTGTCCTTGATCCTTGGCTGGGCTGCTTTGGCTTTACTTTAGAAAACATTTTAAATTTGATTCCTGTGATTAAATGCAAAGAAATTGTTACTTTTTAGCATTTCGTTTGCTCGATAATAAATAACAGGTATATGTGGGCAAAAATATCTACGGGGATATGTAGCATTCCACTGTAGCAAAGCATACAGTCAGTGAAATGTTGGTCTATTATTGATGGAAAAGCTGAGCCACTGAAATGGCAATATGTCAGTCGATCTGAGAGGAATCCTTCAAGGCATTTTAAGGTGCTGAGGCACTGAAGCTGTCCTTTGATGAGAGTGCTTTGCCAAGCAGAAGTTGGAGGCCTAACAAAGTGGATTATTTGGCATCTCTTACTCCACTTGTTTTTTTTATTTCTATGTGCTGAGCAATTGCAAAAAAAAAAAAACCAGGAGTTTGTCCACCTGCCAGATGTATTGACCTGGCTAATCACCTCTACCTCGCAGCATTTCAGGTGCTAACAGAAAGAATAATCATTGCTTAAATCAGTATGTCGTCCATTTGGCTACAGCATTAGCGCATGGCTGCTCTGCACAGCCAGCCATTGAATTACCCTGACACACCATGCATGGCTCCAGCAGAGCAGTGAAGGTCTGACTTGAAACGCTATTCAAGCTGACAGGTGTATGCCGACCAGCTGATCCTTAGTTTATAGATTGTTTTGTATGTATGAACTCGTCTATTGGATTCTTTCGTCAACCTTTCTTTTTCTCTTCATGACCCACTTCTCCTCAATCCCATGGGAGAGGGGGACATTTAGATTGTATCAGAGTATTTACCACACCCACTCATATTAGTGGAAAGCTCCACACACACACACACACTTGTAAATGATGGTTACAGTCTCCATTTGACATTCCAGTGAGGAGAAGGTGGGGGTCTTAAAACAAGGAACACAAGATGGATATTGATATATTGACCGGATGATCCTGAAAGATCCAGGCACCAATGGATTGTGAGAGGTCAATGAGACCTACTTACAGGCATGCTGATTTACTGAGCCTGTCTGAGCTGGTTCCAAGTGACTGTGTGAATAACACAGGTGGAAAAAATGAAAAATGTAGTTGTGTCAGTGGAGGCAGAGGTGTGGGATTCAGCAGGTACATGAAGTGACCAGTTTGGTGCGATTGTGGCAGCTGGTAGGCAGCGCTGTGCAGGTCAACACAACCCTCTCTCTTTCTCAAAAAAAAATCTACAACAAGATATCCACTAACCTGGTAAAAAACAAAAACCTGAACAGCATCCTGTCTCGTAACTGAAGCATCCAATAAAAGCCCGTTTGCCGCAGGATCAGGAAACCCTTTATTTGTTTCACCTAATGAAAAAGGGGAGAGGGAGCGAGTAAGGAGAAAGATTGATTTTGATGATTCCATATGCAAAGCTTAGCGTTGTCCTGATAGAGCTGTGTGAGGCCAGATAAAGAGATAAGGAGTGAGCCAGGGTGAATATTGAGTCTCAGTGCCAGGTGTCTGAGCCTCGACCACGTTTTCTCATTTCTTGGAGGCGGTTGGTCGGCCTAATAGAGGCTGGGCCTGTTTAGCATGCAGCTTCCCTCTCTCTCCTTCTTCCACTAGATGTTGACAAACATCCCTTTGACCCGACATTTGCACATTTTCTGGACCGAGAAAAGAGAGCGTGTGTGTGAGAGTCACTAAGTAAAGAAAACAGTATCAAGAGCATGCCTTGTCCCCCCAACAGACAACCCAGCACAATGACAGTTGTCACTGTTTTCTTGGCTCCCCATTGTGACACTTTCAAGAGACAGAGGCTGTACAGGATGTACGAATGCTACTCTTAAATTTAAAAAAATGTTTTGGTGTAATTACAATGCCATTTATAGCACAAACAAACAGCAGTGGGAGGACTGTTAATTGCTTTGTTACAATGAGAAAGCTCGGGCTTGAAACCACTTGACTCCACAAGTCCTCAACCCATATCCCATTGACTGGCTAGGACACACGAGTGGCTGCACTGTTGTGATTACTAAGGCTGCTTTGTCCCCAAAAATTGTTTTCATCCTGAGGGCAACCTCATAATTATCCATGATTCATTTATCCTTGGCAGAAGAGCCTTTTGTTTTTACACGGCACAGTGATGTCGCTGCATTTGTTTATTTTCCAAAACGTGTCGTTTAAAATGATCAGCCATCAGAACCTTGTCAGATTTGGTTTGTTAATGCAGGGAAGCAGGATACGGGCTTGTATCTGTTTGTAAATTATGCTTTTGATCAATAGAAAGTTCTCTATTGTTAGTGCATGTGGGGCAGCGAGAATCCTGCTTATGTCAGAGCAGCTGGAGTCGAGCTTTTCCTGCGTTAGACAAAGCATGCTGGCACACACACACACACACACACACGCCTACAGCAGACTTTGCCAAGATAACAGTGACAGGTCTCCCCAAAGGCCTCATACCTGTAGTTGCATTGTGTGTACTGCATTCTCCCTCGTGAGCATGTGGACCAGTATATCATCCATATACATCCCTAAACATTACTGTCCATTGTTTTGAAAAGCATCAGCTGTGAGATGTTTGTTAGACCTGCCTGTAGTAGCACTAATATGAACGCTCACAGGAGAATAGAGCTGTCTTCCATGGCTTAATTATAGTGAATCACTTGGTGGGGGAGACAATTATACAGTAAAGAAATAGCCTTTGGCTAGAATGTGTTTTTGAATTTGTAATGTGTACTAAGGCTCCTCACACCTGTGATTCCAGATAATGAGTATAGCAGGAAAATGAGTTTTCTTATTTCATCGATTAGCCTTATTCAGGTAAGAGATTTTTTTTTTGTAGAGAGAAGATATAACAAAAAAAGGACACATAAAACTGAAGAAAAAGTGATTTGACGTTGTGTTACACAGTGTAAAATACATTCGGTCAAAAGTATGTTTTACAGGATAAATTGATTGATAACAGAAGCAGTCATCCAACAAACCAGCAATCCATACGCTGTCCAAGTTTTAGTTATGTAACAGGAAAAAAAAGTACCTTTTGTGTTTGCACTCGCAGTCAATCAAAGTATGCTAAATAAGAAAAAAAAGAAAGAGATCTGCGTGTCTGTCTTGCTGTTTTTCCCGTTAGTAACGAAGACATTTTGATATTGATGTAGGAAAGACAACAGGGAGTGGTTCCAGCGAGGACGCACATCCCTCGCTATCACTTCACATCAGGACAATATGCATGGGAGCATTCAGACGTGTCATATTGAGCATGCAAAATAGATGTCACGCTGTCAGTGCATGCTACACATCTGCTGAAGCTGCCAATCTCCCCCCACACATGTACTCGTGAGTACACAGGCACACACAATATTTCTTATGGAGTGTCACATTTATTTGAAATATGCGCTGTGACATTATCATTTACATCATTATGACTGACTCAGAAATCTCAGAGAAGTGAGAAGCATATTTCATATTTTCAATAATCAAACAATGCTGTGAATTTTGCATTTAAAGTACACTTTTAGTGTCGGCGCGTGGAAATGTTGCTAAAGTGTTTTTATTTTTGTGTTTAGTTAGTGTTTGATCTCACAGGACAGTTCTGGTGTCACAAATTTACTGGTGTCTGGTTCTGGTCACAGATAACAACTCTGCAACTCTGAATAGTTTGTCAAAGACTAATCATGTTAGGAAAGAGAAAACGACAGTTATACAGATGTCGTGCAATAAGGGGAGGGATACATAACACCTTGATCTTGCATTTTATTTCATTTATTTATTTATTTTTTGATGCGTTGGAAGACTTGGGTGGGGTCTGTTACATTCTTTAACGTCTCCTATTTTCAGACCGTTTGAAAAAGAATCGTTTCATCTACAAAAGCCTCAGAAGCTCGCTGATTGAGTGGCAGTTGAACCTGTTAATTATTTAGAGAGGTTATTTGTAAGGTAGAGACTTCAGAAATCGCGTGCTTTTCAAGTGTCAGTGTTTATAAAGTGAAATAAAGCAGCATCTGTCAAAGGAAATTAAAAGTGTGACGTGATGTGCTTAGTGGCCTCTTAAATCTGATTGTAATTAATTCGCCAAACTGGTCAAGCTGTAGCTGACGGAGCAGCGTTACTCAGCAGGATGGTTTTCAGTTCGTGTACGACTAGTGCTAGTTTTACGCTTGGTTAGGTTTTTATAGCCTAACCCGCAACACCCCATCACTGCGTGTCATTCTCGATGTCGCAAAGCTACAATGAAATGACATAACGACCCCGGGCAGCCAGTCAGAAGCATCCAGCCCCGCCGGGTTGCCGCCCTATCGTCAGGACCAGAGCATCCAGCCAAAAGAGTTTAAGAGTCAAAACACACAAGTGACAGCATCTGATGTACACACGTCAGCGCATGCATCCTTAACCACATGTGACGTGTAAAGATTGCACAGAGGGAGTTATACTGTAGAAAAATGGCCTGAAAAATCGAGTCGAGACAGAGTGGGAGGGGAAAGGGGGGTGATATCTATTTATAGGATGTCAATGATTTTCTTCAACCTGTACTGCTGCAGCCTGAAACATGTTATTCTTCTGTCTAAAATACTGCGTTAGGATGAGGAAGAGATTTTATTGCCCAAATCGTATTAACCGCGATACAGATAAGCAATCATGTCGCTTCTTTATTGCACGTACAAGACGCTCTTCCCCCTTGAAAACACAAATATTATGATTACATTTGTGGACTTGTGAATGTGCTGCGCGGCACAGACGAACGGTGTTTTGAGTTTCGCACCACTCGATATCTTTCCTTCAAATCTCGACGGTCTTTTAAAATCAATCCTTTAAGGCGCGTCAAATTCGTTCAGTCGTTAAAAATCTCGAGTCAAATAACTGCAAGAGGCACGAGGACGTGTCAGGAGCTTGCACGCGCACGGTTACTTTGAGCTAGAAAAGTAAAAGCATATCTACGTAATTGTTCCTCAATCTTTTGAGATAATTTTACTTAATTTGAGGAAGATACA